CCGGCACGCGCAGGCCGGCTACCTGAGACGTGAGTGTGGGACCGCGGCCTGGCCGCCTGTTTGGTCTTCTCTGCTGGCCACTGGTTCTCTGCTCGGTCCTGAACCATTAACTGTGCCACCCCCGTGTGACACCGACCCCATGGAGGCCCGGGTGGTGTCATGTAGTTCATAACTAAGAAGACAAAACTTACTAGGTGTCAAGCTTAAAGAACTTGAAATTCAACCCACACCATGTGAAAACCTGTAGCTTTCTAGGTGTTGGAATGGGGAGCTGGTAATTAATAGGTAAAACCCGTCCTAATCGTATTAAAGCTCCGTGTTTCCATAGCAACCCAGGTCTTTGAGGGGCCAGCACCTTTGTGGGAGGAGTTTCAACACTGCTTTAGGCTGGGTCTGGTGACTCTAGCAGCGGTTCTCAACCTGTGGCTCCCAACCCCTTTGTCAGTCTATCCACCCTTTCACAGGGGTGCCTAAGACCATCCCGCATATCAGATATTTACATTACGATTCATAATAGTGGCAACATTACAGTTATGAAGTAGCAACGAAAATAATGTTATGGTTGGGTCACAACATGAGGAACTGTATTTAAAGGGTCAGAAGGTTGAGAACGACCGCTAGTAAAGGGATGTGATTCCAAAGAATTGGTCAGGGTTCCCTACAAACTGTTGTTTTCTTTACCACCATTGGCATCAGTAACATCCCCACATACTCCAGCGGCCTAGTCCTCCCTTCCTCTACAACTGCATCTTTGTATTTTAATTTTGTTACTCCTAAAATTTTATTTAAGGCCATTTGGAACTCGTACTAGAGATGCTTCTAGAGAAAAATATTGGTTTTTTTTTTTAATGTTTTGTAGCAGCAGTTAGATTAAATATTTCGCTCCACTTAGAGATTCTCAGATGGTTCTGTCATTTTGTCATTCACTTGGCATCAAGTGAACTATACACATTTACAGTGTCATTTGGTCTTTCACATGTTGTTGTATGTTTATAATCTTTAATGCCCTCCCCTCCCCAAAGCTGCTGAGAATATCTCCATTTTGACTGTTGAGTTTAAATCTAGATTTCCCCTTTCTAATGGTGGAGTAGTAACCAGGATGGTTTCCATATTCAAATAAAGTGAATTATCTGTGATAGGCATGAAGAACCGAGAGGAAAGATCCCAGCATTTTTTTGATACATCAGTACCACTGATGGATGATGGAGACGATGATACTCTTTATGATCGGGTATGTGAAGGGCCTATGTTCTGTTTTCTTCTCTTCACAGACCCGTAGCTTTACAGGGCGATGGACTAGTGCTGCGTGACTCGTCCATCAAGTAGATTTTACAGCAGGCTGGCAGACAGTCATGGGCCATACCTTCTTCCTTCCAAAGGCTTCAGGGAGCCCTTGTAATTCCCTTCTGGACTTGGGGAGAGATACGCATGGCTCTCCCCCAGGTTCTGCTAGCCAGGCCTTGCGTGGCCGCAGGCAGGAGGTTCTCTCCAGGCGTTCTGCTTTTACCAGTCCTGCTTTAGGTCCCGCTTGCTATGGGAATTTGGGTTTTTCCTTTTAGGGAAAAATAAGTGTTTATGTGCTTTATAGAAATGTTTTTAGGTATCATTTTCTTTAAATTATGTCTAAAATGGTACACCAAAGCTTTCTCCAGGGGGCAATCTAACATGTGGATTCTGTACTCCTTTCTACTAGGGTTTCACAGATGACCAGCTGGTGCTCCTGGACCAGAACACACTGATGGTGGAGGAGAGGGAGCGGGAGATCCAGCAGATTGTGCAGTCGATTTCTGACCTAAATGAGATCTTTAGGGACTTAGGAGCAATGATTGTAGAGCAGGTACGTCAGTTTACCTTCCTCCTCAATGGGTTTTTCTACCATAAAATCTGGTCCTTCTCCAAACTTGGTTGACTCTGCACTCCTATCAGGAAAAAAATAATAATGTCTTCGCCCAATGTATGCATGTATATGCAAATTATATATGTATACCACTTCCATTTTTCATTTTAAAACAGTAAACTTTTCTCTAGGTAAATGTCAATAGAAGTTCTTGTGTTTTCTGCCTCAGGGGTGCTTGTAAGAGCGCCCTCCCTGGGGGCCTGGCAGTGCTGCCCAGGCTCAGCAGTGATTCTGGCAGGAGATAAGGCTTTCCTTCGAATTTTGGCAGGTTATTGGGTAATGGCGACTGGAACCACTAGCTTTCAAGTGGAATTAAATTGTTTGTTCACTGCTACAATCTGATTAGGGTATTTTATTATCTTGCCAGTAGGGATTTGGGTCCTGATCCCCCTGAAACCAGCTGAGAATGGAGTGTCAAGGCTACGGAAGATCTAGTTACATTAATTACTCCCGTGGTTCCCAGGGAACTGCTCTTGCTATCTCTTCTAATGCAGCGTGTTTCCGTTAAGAGCCCTGTTCTTCCATATAGCCCAGTGTTCCCTGCTCTCTGTCTGAACCAAGAGATTAAACAATTAAGAACAAAATTCTCCTTGAGGCAGATGTGAAATTTTACATGGTGGATTGGAGCTCACTGTTGTTGCTCTGATCCACGGAGACCTGTGCTGACGTCTGTAGACATGATAGTCAATTTCTAATCATAACCGGTCGAACTAAGCTAGCACTCTGCTTTCTTGAATCCCAAGTATTTAAGCAGCAGGTGGGCACAGAAGCTCGTCCTTCATCACTTAGAGCCTATTTCCACTGAACCGTATCTGTTTTAAAGCACCAGTAAGTCTGAATATGGCATATCCTATAGTAGCAAAATCCAAGACAAACCTCAGTTTATCAGTATTTCTTCCTCATTAACTAGACTTGATTGCAACCAACACCACACTCTTCCCCTGAATGCCTGACGCTGCTGGGTGGTGGTCCTAGAGCTTCCAGCGTGCCCTGGGCAGCGAGGCTCAGTCAGACAGATACTCCTGTGCATGGCGACATCGCGATCTGCATGTGGGTTCCTGAGGCCACTTCCCCACGTGCACTAGTTGATTTTCTGTCACTGTCATTTATTACCACAGGGCACAGTCCTTGATAGAATTGACTATAACGTTGAACAGTCCTGTATCAAAACTGAGGACGGCTTGAAGCAGCTTCACAAGGTAATCCCTTATCTTTCAGTGGTTGAGGATTGGAGGAACTGTTGCCACGTATCGAAAATTCGTCAGGGTTGTCTTCCGTCACAACTGTCTCCAGCACTCTTGCCCGCCATCACTCAGTGTGATAGTGTGGACATGGGCGTCATGCCATCCAGAGCTGACCACGTGGGCTGCCGCCCCTTTGCTGTAGCTAGTGTTTCCAGGGCACTCACACTTAGGTTGGAAGTTATTTTCCTCCTTTTAGAAAACATTTCATTCTTTGAGTCTTCTTGTTTTAGGAAATCAGTTGAATTTGCATTTGCTGAGATATGGTTAAGCATCCTGTTTGCTTGCTGCTGACGCAGCCTCTCGTGCCGTGATACCTTTCTGATGAATTGCTGGTGGAAAATCACCCTGGAGAAGACAAAAATCTAATTTTCCCTTTTAATTACCACCGTACATCTGTGTACTTACCTTGACAAAAGAGTAGTTTGTTGAAGTGAAAGTGTTATTAGCTCTCATATTCTTTGCTAATAAGGTAGCTATTTCAGGGATATTTTTGATGATATTTTTAAAAAATAAACGGAAAGCATTGTAGAACTCTGGTAATTGTTTGTGGGAAACATATCCATACGCTGCCGAGTGGCTCTCGTGTGTGATCGGGTGCATGTTTTCTCTAAAAAGAATATAATACTTCACAGAGTAAGTGCTGTCCATCTCCCCGCATCTTTGAGACCCATTGGTGTTTCTGCCACATCCTGAGCATTTTTCCAGTTCATGACTGCACTGTCCCATCCTTTTCCCCAAACCAGCCCCTTCCTCTAGCAGAGCGGCGCGGCTGTGCCAGGTCTGCCCAGGGACCTTCATGCTCTTGGTGTGCTCGTCGCTGCGCGGGGTGGCATTCGGGTCCGCCTGTAGCAAGGAAGGGGAAGGCTTGCCCTGTATGCGGAAGACTTGTTAAGCACTTAGATCCATTTGGGGGCCAGGTCTTGTTTATTAAAAGAGTAAAACGGACTTCAGTTTCTCACTCTGTAATACCCATGTTTTGATCTGCTGTGGGATTATGCATTGGTCGTGAAGTTTCTTAAAATCTAGTGAAACATGTTTTGTAGTATTACACAGGTAACGGGAAAAGCTTGTCTGCAGGAGTGTACAAATCTAGTGGGAACTAAACATTTTGTTTTAGGTTTTCCTTTATAAATCATTCTGAGAGGTTTTAAGGTATATCATTTAGTCTTGGCTTCCCTGGTGCTCTGGGTTACTTGGAAAAGTAAGCATGTTCGTCTTATCTCTCACGTCACATTGCTGGCCGTCTCCTTGGTAGCCGCTCACCTAAGGATGATTGAGCCTCGGGAGTCACTTCACACCCTGGACTCTCAAGACCTGTCTGTCCTAATGTTTCCTCCTGACGGAGGAGTGGTCCTGGGGGCAGGGCGACCCACTTAGCAAACAGAACTGCAGTCAGGTGGTGGGGACATGGAAGGACGACAGGTATTTTCATCAGTCTGTCTCCTTCTTGTCCTTCACCGTGAAATATCGAAATAGTGTCGGGGCGGGCATGCCCTTCTGGATGTGGTTAGAGACCCTCACACCTCTCTTCTTCACTGCCCCTCCTCTGGTCTTACTTCTGCAGGCAGGCATGGCGCCTGAGAATAGGCCAGGCTGGTGTGTGCAGGTGAAGCCTGGAGGTGTTGTGTCATCAGGAGCACAGGGACTTATCTGGGGAGGTGGGGGTTCTTTCTGCACTTGACCCCAAGGGGAGCACTTTCTTAGTTTTATTTCAAAGGATAAGTTTTCCTTGTTGCCATATTCAGGGAAGGTAGGAATCAAGCTGTTTGGGGCCAGCGGTTGCACATCACTGCTGTGGCACCCTTAGCCAGCAGAGTGATTTCATTATGAAGGTGCGCCTGCCAGAGGGCCTTCCTGGAGAGAGGGGTCCTCAGGGCAGTGGAAGTAGCGGCGAGCGAGAGCGGGCTCGTCTGGGCTGAAGGCTGACCTTTGCCTTCACCCTATGTCTGGGTGGCAGATCCCACACCACATTAGTGCCTCCTGGGAGACTAGTGCCTCCTGGGAGGCAGTAGATCCAGGTCAGGGGCCCTTCCACGCATGCTGAATTCGTGTGAATTGATGGAAGGTTGTAATAAAGGAGTCTGTAGCCAAGAGGTCAGCTATACAGAGGATAGGACTGGAAACGAGTGAGGCTTGATTTTGGGGAAAATGACGGCTTTTTTCCCTCCTCTTTCTGTAGGCAGAGCAGTATCAAAAGAAGAATCGGAAGATGCTTGTGATTTTAATATTATTTGTCATCATTATTGTCCTCATTGTTGTCCTCGTCGGCGTGAAGTCTCACTAAGCGGCCTGGGGGCTGTGTGTGCCGCGTGGATCCGGG